AGAGAGAGAGAGAGAGAGAGAGAGAGAGAGAGAGAGAGAGAGAGAGAGAGAGAGAGAGAAGAGAGAGAGAGAGAGAGAGAGAGAGAGAGAGAGAGAGAGAGAGAGAGAGAGAGAGAGAGAGAGAATAGACGATAAACAAACAAACAAACAAACAAACCATTAAAATAAATCCTCGCCCCCACTTCAGGGAAACACGACCCAACAAAGCAGACAAGAAATTTGCGCGCCAAAAAAGGACCAAAACAAAAATGGCGCCGCAGATCACAGGTTTCCTTCATAACAGGATGAACCGGTGTCTCTCTCTCTCGCTTTGCTATTCGCGGGACATCAGTTTGTAGTTCCTGCTTGTCCTCCTTCAAAAGCAGAAGGTGAATCTGTGATACTTGATAATAATAATAAGACGGTGACAATAATAAGACTCGATGGTGAACGCAATCAAAGTCTTCAAAAAACAGTCTCCAAATGGTGAGTTTTTATTGGTGATTGAGTTGCCATGTTTTTTTTTTTTTTGTTTTTTTTTTCATTTTTTTTTTTTATTATTATTATTTTGGTTCTTGTCCCTTCAAGTGATTGGTATTTCCGCTTTTTGTTGTTGTTGCTCCAGGAGATATTTTTGCACTGTCACTAGTATTGTTTATATGTTGTTTTTGAGGGATTTAACAAGGGATAAATTATTATTATTATTGTAATACAGTGATATATATTGTTTCCTATTATTACTGCTGATACTCCTTCCGCTGCTGCTGCTGCTGTTACTACTACTATTACTATTACTATTACCATTACTATCACTACTATTACTTCTGTTACTGTTACTATTACTATTGCTGTTACTATTATTATTACTACTACAACTACTACTATAACTACAACTACTATTACTAATATTATTAGTACTACTACTATGATTAATTACTATAATTATACTATAATCATAATTCTACAAAAACTACTAGTACTAATTATAATAATGATTTGAATAATAATAATGATAATAATAATAATAATAATGCTGTTGCTGCTGATGCGATTGCTATTATCATTATTATTATTATTATTATTATTATTATTATTATTATTCATTATTATTGCTGTTATCAATGTTATTATTCGTCCTTTCTTGTTAAAGCTCAGGGAAAAAAATATGTGCATAATGTTTCGTGAAGTCATTTGCATAAGAATTCTTTTTTCTATGTCAGTGTCAGTATATCTCTCTATCTATCTATCTATCTCTACCTATTTGCCTATATATTTCTATTTAACTTTCACGTTTTCTTGGTGTGCTTATTTCTCCTTATGGTTTCATTTCATCTCTCTCTCTCTCTCTCTCTCTCTCTCTCTCTCTCTCCTCTCTCTTCTCTTCTCTCTCTCTCTCTCTCTCTCGTCTCTCTTTATTTTCTATCTATCTATCTATCTATCTCTCCCTCCCTCCTTCTCTCTCTTCCCTCTCTCTCTCTTTCTCCCTCTCCCTCCCTCTCCCTCTCCCTCTCCTCCCTTCTTCCCTCTCCTCTCTCTCCCTCCCTCTCCTCCCTCTCCCTCTCTCTATCTGTCTATCTATGTATCTATCTATCTCTCTCCCTCCCCCTTCCCTCTCTCTCTCTCTCTCTCTCTCTCTCTCTCTCTCTCTCTCTATATATATCTATATATTATATTCACCCTCCCTCCCTCTCCCTCTCTCTCTTAATCTCTCAATTTTAGCACTTTATTGATTTCGCTACTATCAGTGTTGTCATCTTTATCGTAATCAGTATCATTGTGTTGCCATCACAATTCCTGTTATTACCTCAACGCTGACGCCGCAATATCTCCCCCAGAGAAGATCACAGCCTACCTGAGCCGCCGGGACTTCTCGGACCGTCGGACTCACACCGAACCCGTCGATGGCGTGGTCGTAGTGGACGCCGACTACTTACAAGGTCGCAAGGTCTTCACGAGGGTGGTGCTCACTTACCGCTACGGCAGGGAGGAGGATGAGGTCATGGGACTCAAGTTCAGCAAGGAGTTCGAACTGGTCCACGCCGAGGTCGTCCCTCCTGACGGCGAGAAGGGACTCTCCGCCCTGCAGGAGAAGATCGTCAAGAAAGTGGGAGGTAACGCGATTCCCTTCAGCGTCGCCCTGCCCGACCCGGCGCCGTGCTCAGTCGCGCTTGACCCCGGCAGCGATGAATCGGTGAGGAAGCTGTCTGTCTGTCTGTCTGTCTGTCTGTCTGTCTCTTTCTCTCTCTCTCTCTCTCTCTCTCTCTCTCTCTCTCTCTCTCTCTCTCTCTCTCTCTCTCTCTCTCTCTCTCTCTCTCTCTCTCTCTCTCTCTCTCAGTCTGTCTACTCGGTGGATTGTGTTCTTTAGATTTAGTGGTTGTGTTGTAGTTCGTGTTTGTCTGAGACTAGTTTGAAGAGCTAGTTTTTGGTTGTTTAGCTTTAACTCTAGTCTCAATGTTGCCGAAATTTGAATTGTGTAAGGGATCGTGGAATATCTCTTGCTGCATTATTTCCTTGTACTAGA